TTAATTAATTAATTATGAGAAAATAGGAAATGATTCCATAATTGACCCTAATAATTATTAAGAGGCTTTAATAATTATGATAAGTGATTAAGAATGCTGAAAGTCACTTTTCGGAAGAAAAGTGCAGATACCAGTTCTGCTAGTCGGTATAAATGCGTAGCGAAAAAGTATCCCGGAAAATTAATGTAAGTGCATGATAATTACTAGAATAATGTGTAGGACTTGTCAAACGAGTTTCAAGTCCAAATAATGAGAACTGGTTCCAGAAACTGATACTGGCTAAGAAAAGCGCGTACCGGAAAGGTGCTCGGAAAAATATAATAAAAATATGATAATTCTTGTAAAATTTAGTAGGTTAAGAATCCTAATTTTGGGATTAAAATGCTAAGCGTAGCAATTAAAGCTAATATTGTGTGTTTTATTTGAAAGTAGTTATATATACTCATTTAAAGGCACATTGCCCTAGATACCAGATTTTTGCTGCGTGAGTTGTGTTGGTGGCTGACCAAAAACACAGCCTTTGGGTTTTCTCCTTCCTTTTCTTGAGGTTCAAGGCCATTTCTTCCTTGATTCTTCACTTTTTCTTTTGTAAACACCTTGAGTGAGTGTGAACAATCTTTGGGAGTGAGAAAGAGACTTCATTTCTGAGTTTGGTTTCTGTCTTGTGAGGTTGAGCTTGTTGTTTTCACGTTTTGGGAAGGAGAAGGCTTTCTTTTTGTGTTTTGAAGCTTCAAGGAGCTTCCTTGTTGGGTAAAAGAACCACCTTTGTGCACCATTTTCGTGTGCAGTGAGAGACAGAACCTTGGGAGTGTCTAGTGAGCTCCAAGAGCCTCTTTGTTCTGAGTTTTGAGCCTTGGTATGTTGTACAAACCTTTGATCTTGAATTTATGCTTAAAAATGGAAGCTTGATGCATGTAAAGGCTTAAAGATGATAACTTAATGTTGGGTAACGATTAACACACCTAGAAATGCATGCTTAAATGTCTAGAATCAGTAAAAACCCAACCTTGGAAGGATATCTTCACGAAATGCAGTTTCTGCATTCTATCGTGAAATATCCGGATATCTGCCCGAGAAATATCCGGATATGGGATTTGGATATCCGGATATGGTCAGTGAGATATCCGGATATTGCATATCCGGATATGTACCCGAGGAATATCCGGATATTCTGGGATTTCGAAGAACAGTAGCTGTGTTGTGTGTACAGTAGGCTATTGGGGGTTTGTGGACCCTAGATTGATGAAGTTGAACTTCTGTAATTAATGAACTAAGTCAGAATCATGTGATTAAGGGCTTGTGGCTTTGTTGGAAGCCTTAAGACGTAAATCGTTAAAGGAGAACATAGTCTTTATGTTAATGCTTTTGAGTTATGTATGTTGACACACTTGCTGGTCCTAAATCAGATTGTGATCTGCTGTGTGTTGGACTTGAGCTGAGAGGACTCTTGGCATTGGATAGTGAGCTTGCAAGGTAAGCTTTCGTGTCCTCGGTTTAGCCATGTTGTGGTTCCACCATGTCCCATGGGGGTATGGTATATGCATGCTGTGTTACATGCTTTTGATGTTTAGGAAATGCTGTTGAGCTGTTATATGTTAGTGCCTTGTTGATATGCATGGAGGTGTTCCACCTATACGGTAAGCCTGAGTACGTAGAACATACAATTTGGTGAGGCTGTGGGTGAGGTGTAAGCGGTGTTCCTTGTACTACATGTAGGTATAGACGTATTCCTACATTTCTCTGGCCAGTAGAATAGTGATTACTCACATGCCATAGATATCTGTTGCACTGTATAGTTTTGGAACTGATATTGATATAAATGCTTTTAGAACTTATATTGCACATGTAAGTGAGCTTGGGGTGGAAGATCCTTGAGGACCCCTTGTCTTACTGAGATTTCTGGTTTAGAGATCTTACCCCACGTTTGGGGAATGCTTATTTCAGGGTCAGGTAATGTTGAGATCTCAGGCGGCAGGAGGCCGGAGCTGAGTTAGTTATTGTTGATATTACTGACTTGTTGGATGCTGGATATGCATGCTGTTTTTATGCTTTGAGCTTCATTCGATGATTATGATTATCTTGTTGAGACGTTGTTGATTTGGTGAGCATGGGGATTGTCCATGCCACATAGACTTGTTATGTCTTGCTTTTATTAGAGTTGTATTAATGTATCAGGATATTGTTCGGATTACGTGATGTAATGTCGTGACTTAGATACTCACTTCATATATTATATTGAGGTATTTCAGTAGATGTCTTATTGCAATTTACATTTAGGTGATATTTTATGAAATTGATTAAGTAATCAACTTGACTAAGTTTAATGACGTCATAATTGAAAAGAAAAAGAATATTCCGCATTTTTAATTAAGCGTAGCTTAATACGATGTAATGATAACACTACCGGATATATACGGGGTGTTACACCAACCAAGATGCTCCATCTCGCCCTGCTACCACTAGATGTAGGTGTACATTTTCTTTTTGTCCATAAATTGGTCAAAATATTTCTAGAGGTTTTCCCTTGCTCCTGCATGACCTTTCCAGATGTGAATTCGGACATTGGATGCTTCTTATTGGTGGTAGAATTCAGGAGTAATTTGTCCGTGAATTCTTTGAAGAACCCTATGGAATTTGGCGACAACCTTGAAAACCATGTGTTCACAGCTCTAGTCAGGGTTGAAGCAAAAATACGGGAAATGAATGGCTCGTCAATCCCTTTCACGTATATATCGGTGTCAAAGGAGTCAAGGTGGACCTCAAGATCTTGGCTTCCATCATATTTCAGTAGGTGAGCCGAGTTCCATCCCTCCGGGAACGATGCATCAATAAAATTGTTAGTAAATGGGTTGTTGTTATATTGTCCTCTGCGATATTTCCTTCTGTACGCACCCCCCCCCCCAGCTCGACCTAGGATTTCCATATTCGGTCGAGTAGTGTTCTGGACTTCACCCTCTTCTCCATCTCGACCGTTATTGTTATCTCGATCTCCGTTGCTTTCTTCATTTATGTTTCTACCCCTAATACCTCTATTTTTGTTGTGATTTGCATCTCGGTCTCCCTCTCTTCTTCTAGGAATAATAGTATTGCCAAATGGGTGGTGTGTGTGCACATTGGCGATATAATAATAAGATAGAGAATGTGTGTCATACATATATGATTTATTTTATTTATAGAGTTTAGCTGCAAGTAATGGAATTCTGCTATTCTTGGGGCTCATTGCTAGATTCATTTCTATCAAATTAGGATTCGTAGCATTAAAGGAACATTTCCTTTATTTCCCTTAGTTTTTTTTTTATGTTGCCTTCTCATGGGTCTTTTAAAATGTGGGCTTCTAACACATACCTATAACAAGTTTATTCCTAAAAGTATATATAAGTAGAGGGTTTTATTAATGTTATGTTTAGTTTCCAACATACACAATAAAAGAGAGAAAGGAAGTGAAATGATGAAAGAGAAAGAAAAACATGTGGACCCCACCTCTTTAATATGTGTGTAGAAAAGTGAAATTATGTTATGTAACATAAGAAACATAAAACCCATAAGTAGAAGTGAAAAAAAATTGTATTGGGTTAACAATTTCATATTAAGTTTTATTGCATATTTTTTAAAATATTAATCACTTTAATTCAAATTCAGTTTTAACCAAAATAAATTTAACAAAATCAAAATCATTCAAAATTAAGCTTAAAATGCTAACCCAAATACACACTTAAATCAGTTCCGCAATAAAATTAAGAACTCATTAATCCATGACCTTCATTGATTAAACTATACCCAAAACGATTGCTTTTAAGCCGATAGAAGCAATAGGTCTCGTTTGGCCACTAAAGTCAGAGCGTGCAGAAGTGGAAAAAACAAAGCCGCATAATAAGCTCGTTTTAGTGCCTTTTATTCCTTAAAAAGCTGGAATTTTAAAAAACCAAAAGCAACACTATTGATATTATTAATTGCTACCGCGCAGGTTGCCGGAGCCATAAAGACCACAAGCACATGGTTCTAATCAATGCGCTTTACAGCTACCCTGCTCGTTGGTGCCTCACAAGTCACTTCCACTTCGTGAAAACACTTTCCTTTTCTTTTTCTTTTTCTTCCCAATTTTCTTGCCCTTTCCTTTTGAATTTCCTAAAAAGGAGCACACTGCTCAAGCCATTTCCCATAAAGGGAATAGCGAAATCTTAGATTATGATTTTATTAATTAAATTAATAATTGGATTATAATTAAACCAAATAATATTTAAATTATTACCGAATATGTAAATCAACTAATTTGGGATTATTTTATCTTAATTAATGGTTTCAAGTTAAAATATTGAATATGCTGACTGTATTAAAATTTTATAGAAAATTTTTTATCATTCTTATAATCATGCGTGACTCGATTAATTTATGAATGGATGGAAAAATCTTAAAAATATATATGTAAATTGTAAAAATAAGAAATTCACAATTTTACTAATTCAATCAATGACGATTATACATAAAATTAAACTCTAATGACGAGAAAATATTTAAATAAAAACTATAAAAATGAGTCAAAATTAAGCTCATAGAATAGTTAGATAAAGTCACGGAAAAAGTGTATATGATTTTAAAAGATGTAAAATTGTATCATTTTAAATGGAAGAAAGAGATAGATTATGAAAAATAGAGAGTAGACAAAAAAAATACACACCTTTTTGTAAGAGTGAAATAATACAAGTTATGTCATTTTAAAGGACAAATATTTTTTCCTAAAAATATATATATGACAAAACAAAATAATTAAACACCAACTGATAAATAGTTCAAGAAAATAATCTTAATAATTTAATATAACAATACAATCCTAGGAATTGCTTCTTGCATGGTCAAATTTTCTGTCAGCTACAACCATTCATTGATACACATTGGTATAAGTTTAAATCTGTACAACTAACAACAGAGTTTTTATGCCAAAAAATTATGAAAGGGCAATGAATATATGAATTTTCTTATTTATTTTTTCACCTATTTTTCTCTGCTTTTCTAATTGCTAACAATCTCTATAAACAAAAGAATCCACCACAGAAGAACAAATCTGCTTCTTAATAACAGAATTAAGGTCATAATTACCCATGCCCCGTTGAATCATTAGAAAATCTGAAAATAACGTCGAACCAGCTGAGTTCGTCGCAGCGAGTGAACTCGTATCCGGTATTGACTCACTCAAAGTGATCAAATCAACGCTCTTCAACAAGAACTCATTGCGAACGAGTTGACTCAGAATCGCCGACTCGGACACCGAGTTCTTCTTCTTGTGCTGCATTGACGCTCGAACAATCTCTACCAACATGGCATTCGATAATCGCCTAACACCACGAGCGCCACCCATTACAACCGCTGAGTTGACTCGGTATTGAGACTGAGTTATCACCGAGTTCTTCTTCCCATGCTTTCCCCTAGAGCTTTCAGTGCTCACCTTTTGGTAAAATAAAACTGACTCGGGACTCCGATTCCTGACTCGCTCCAGTGGGTCATTAAAAATTACAAGATTTTTCACGTCCACGAGCATTACGTGCTTGAAGCTCCTCCTGACTCGGCCGAGTAACATGGGGTAACACGCCCATCTTCTCAAACCCAGCGGAACTCGGTCTAGAAACCCAGCCAGAGAGTTCTCCGGGTCGAGCTCGTTCGCGTCGAAACTCAGCACCGATCCATAACTCATCCGAGTCAACTCACCCTCCCCTGCTTCTAAACCACTCGAATTTCTTCGAATTCTCTTACCCCAAACTGGCTCACCCATTTCCACTCTCTTCTTAGTAGCCCCAGTGAAACGAGTCACGTCAAACATTAACTCGGTCTCTTTGCTCCAACGAGTCGAGTTCAACTGACTCTGAAAGTGAAGCTGAACGAGTGACAAGAACGAGTCGTTCTCTTCACGAACAATGTTGGCAAACCTAGACATCATGAAAGGAGAAGCGAAGAGAAAAACGACGTCGGATTTGGAAGTGATGCCAGAACGATGTAGAACTCTGAGGAAAAGCCTAAACTCTTCGTGGGTAGTGTCTTCGACAACGTGTGAAACGACAAGGTCGTTCATGGCTCTGTTTCCTCTTCGGTAAAGAGTACCCATTCTTTGAAGTGCCGTTGGTGGAAAACGGTCACCGTTTAAAGCGTTGTGCGGTAACCAAAGATGGGTTTTGGGTTTGGGAGTGATTGGGTGACGACGATGGAGAGTGTTGGTGGTGGGTTCGAAGGTGGAGAGGGTGAAGAGAAGGAGAGTGATGAAGAGGAAGAAGACACATATTGAAATGGTGGATTGAGCTTTGGAGAAAAGGGTAATGGAGTTGGTTCTTTTAAACGAAGATGAGGATGAAGATGGTAAAGGGAGAAGGTTGGTTTTGTTAGCAATGGTGGTGTTGTTATCTTCTCGGAAGAAAACTAGGAGAAAACCCATGCCACTATTGTGGGTGTTGTTGTTGTTGGTGGTATTAGCGTTAGGCTTTGCCTTTGCCAATAAACCCATTTCGAGGATTCTGTGACTCTGTGAAGGAGTGTGAAGCTTTTTACGTGCTCTGCTATTAGGTTTTCACGTTTGGGAAAGTAGTGGATTTATGAGGTTACTTAATTTTCTTTATGTCAATAAGGTCTTGCACAAACAAGAGAGAAGAGGTTTATATTTCTCGTTAAAGGGGTGTTTGGAACGTAGAATGTGATAAAAATCTTGGAAAGTGAGCTGTTCAATTTTTATTTACTATGTTTGGTATGGAGAATGTGATAAAAATGTAAGTATAATTTTGTTCCCATGAATCTATTTTTCAACATGACATGGGGAAAAAAAATCTCATTTGAAAGGTAGTATTATTTTTTACCCATAAATCATGAAAAACATTTTACCTTTTTTAGACAAAATTGCCCTTCAGATGTCTTAAAAATTTGTTGCAAGAAACACAAAATCGTCATTTTGCTTTAAAATCACATCAATATTTTACCACTAACCAAACACAACATCAGTAAAATTAACTCAACTTTCCTGGTATAATTTTGACATACCAAACAATTTTTTCATAACTTATTTGGGCAAAAATGTTTACCACCATATTCTTAGGAAAAAAAATTATCAGTAAAAAAAATATCTTTTATACCAAACACCCTCTTGGAGATAAAAATTGTCTCGCTCTATATCTTCTCTTTCTCTCTTCTTTTACATGATTCTTAATTTCAGTTGCTTTTTATCTATTCATAAGAGATAATTTTATCTTCTAAAGAGAAATATTATACTCATCACTTAACGCAGTTATTGTATTGTCTTTGTTTATGTTTTTTTCTTAAATCCATTTTTTCACCTTTCGAATATGTAAAATGCAAATCGATATGTCCCACAGGAGAAAAACTTGTCCCTTGAAATATATATTAGATATCGGATTAGTCTTTTGCTTGAAATTCAGATTTGATGATAATTAATGCTATGATAAATACACAATATGGACTTAAAAGAGTTAGTTACTTTGTGTTGCTTTCATCCTAAAATTTTGTGTCTATATAAATCAGTATTCAAATGATTGAACTTGTAACTGAATCGACAATGTCAAAATTAATTTGTGTAGATGAAAATTTTGGAAAATCGAAACAGCACAAGTATGACCACAATAAAAATAATAAACCAAATTGAAGTATCAAACATATTGAAATCAACGTTGATAAAGACGAATTAAACGGGTTGAGTTTGTGTTGGGGCGGGTTGAAAGTAGGTTAATCCTCCCTATCCCATTTTCGACAGTCCAGACAAATTTACTGTATTGCTAACTCTAATTGAAATTGATCTAATACACCTTGCATACTTAAAAGAAATACAAACATTATAATTTTAAAAAAAATAATAAACAACAACAGACATATAAAAGATATTGAAGAGGAGAATTACTTATAAGTTATTATTTGTCAACTTCTAATACACATGTGCATTGTAGTTATTTTTATTCAACAATTTGAGTTACAGTTTTATGCAAGCACACAACACGTGTCCGACACGGACACGCTCAGACACGTTCGGACACGTTTTTTTTTTAATCTTAATTTTATTTTATTAACTAAATATAAAAAATTAATTTATAAATTAATTTTTTTCTATTATGAAATTTCACATAAAAAATTAACAGCGTAAGAAAAATTATTTATATTTATGTTATGAAATTTAAATATTTGATTGGTTATATGACTTATCATGTACTCTTATATGTATTAAATATAAATTATATTATATATTTTAAATTTTTATTTAATATCAAAATGTGTCTCAGTGTATCGAAATATGACATTTTTTAGAATTAATGTGTCGGCGTGTCGTGTCGTGTCCCATGTCGGTGTCCGTGCATCATAGATTTTATGGAACTATAATTAAATTCATTTTTTATGTAAATAAAAAATAAATGTATTCTTTTTTCAAGTTTATTATTAAAAGAAGCAAATACTAAAAGGAAAGAACTCTAACGAAACAATTTTATATTTGATATTCTATTTTTTAAATTACTTTAGTATTTTTTCGGTTGTTGAATTATTATGAATTTATAAATTTTATGGAGTCATATACATTATTAAAAAAATTCAATAGATTGATTGCTGAGCAAATTGAATTGCTTCTCTTTGGCCTTCTTTTATGATGGTTGATGGTGGTGCTCATTACGTAATCAATGGGATCGTGCACCAGCTGAAACTGACTCTCAAGTTAGTATAGAAATATGGTGAAGAATGTGACAAGGGTTAAGAGTGTACCTAAGGGTGAAGACCCTAACATCTCGTGTATATCTTGTGTATTAACTCAATTATGGTATTAAACGTATCTAGAAAATATTCCTTAAACATTTATATAGAAAACTAAGAGGATTTGAATATGTTGTTATATTTAATGAAATGGCTGATAGCCAATATATACACAAGTCGGTTATACAGAATCAAGGAGGATCAACTAGAATAAAGTATACTGTTCAACAAACTATACATGGAATAATAACAAACTATTCTTGCTAAAAACTAGGACTTAGTTGCTAAAGGATAAGATCAAAGGTGATCTTCTCCTAACACGCCCCCTCAAGTTGGAGCATGAAGTGACGAAATGCCCAACTTGCTGCGAAGAAAACTGAATTGCTTCATGCCAAGCGGTTTGGTAAATATGTCTGCGAGTTGCTGATCTGTACGAACGTAGGTAGTAGTGATTGTATTGCTGAGAACATGATCGCGTACAAAATGACAATCAATCTCTATATGTTTGGTACGTTCGTGGAAAACTGGATTAGCAGCTATTTGCATGGCAGATTGGTTATCACAGTGCAACTGCATAGGGTGTGAATGTGGAACATCAAGCGAGTCCAGAAACGATTTGATCCATAACAACTCAGCTGTAGCTGCTGCCATTGAACGATACTCAGCTTCAGCGGAGGAGCGAGACACTGTGGGTTGCTTCTTTGTTTTCCAAGAGATAGGAGAAGTACCCAACATGATAAAATAACCAGTAACTGATCGACGGGTGAGTGGACAGCTAGCCCAATCCGAATCAGAATATCCACGAAGAAGGAGATCATTGTCAGATCGAAGGAGTAAACTTTGGCCAGGATCAGTTTTGATGTACCTTAAAACGCGGATGACAGCATCATATTGAGCAATAGTAGGATTTTGCATGAACTGGGAAAGAACATGGACGGAGTAACTTAACTCAGGTCTAGTAATTGTCAAGTAAACCAAACGTCCTATGAGTCTTCTGTAACGTGCGGGATCCGAGAATGGAGGACTTTCTGTAACTGCAAGCTTATGATTTGTTTCGAGAGGGAAGGCACATGGTTTGCACGCAAGGAGACCAGCGTCTTCCAATATGTCGAGAGCGTACTTTCGTTGGCTCAGAAAAAGACCTGATGGACCGTGAGCTATTTCGATGCCAAGAAAATATTTAAGAATCCCCAAATCCTTGATGTGAAAGCATGACTGGAGAAAGACCTTGACATCGGTGCATAAGGCATCATTGTCGCCCGTTAGAATAATGTCATCAACGTAGATGAGAAGAGCAACAAAGTGGCCATCTTTGTGTAAGGTGAATAGGGTGTAATCTGCCTTGGATTGGATGAAGCCATATGATTCAATGGAAGACCGCAACTTAGCAAACCAATTGCGAGGGGACTGCTGCAAATCGTAGAGAGATTTACGTAAGCGACATACTTGATGTGGTTTGTGATGATTGAAACCTTGTGGAACGCGCATGTAAACTTCTTCGGTAAGGTCTCCGTGTAGAAAGGCATTCGTAACATCCAACTGGTATAGGTGCCATGATTTGGCAGCAGCTACCGCAAGAAGTGTTCGGACACTCACCATTTTGGCTACAGCAGCATATGTATCGAAGTATTCTTCTCCAGCTATTTGATTGTTACCGGCAATGACCAACCGTGCTTTGAATCTCTCCACTGTACCATTTGAGTTGTACTTAATGCGGTATACCCACTTGCATGGAATGGCACGTTTTCCTGGTGGCAAAGAAGTGAGTTCCCACGTGTGATTTTGTTCAAGGGCATCTATTTCTTTTCGCATTGCTACACGCCACCTTTCATCAGTTACAGCATCCTTGAATGTTTTTGGTTCAACACCAGAAGAAATGGCAGCAAGGAATTGTTGATGTTTGGGAGAGAATCTAGAACAAGAAACAAAGTTAGTAATAGGATAAGCCATACCTGAGGAAGGACTGGAAGAAGTAGAAGAAGCTAGTGGATTATGTGCGATGACTTTGGAGCATTCGAAATCTTGGAGATATGATGGAGGACGGCGAGAACGGTGACCACGTCCCAAAGGTGCAGATGGATGTGTGACTTCTGGGGGCTGTTCTTGTCGGATAGAAAGCTCATTGGAGACAGTAGGGGCAGATTCGGGTTGAGCCTGTTCAACAGGGAGAGTGTCTTCAATTAAAGGGACAGGGTTGGTAACAACTTGGGAATCAAAGGATGGGCTTTGTGGAGCAAGGGTTGGTTCGGGTGATATGGGGTTATGGGGGTTTGGGTCGTGAGGAATATCAGTGGTAGGAATGATTGTGGTTGGTGCAAAAGGAAAGGTGTTCTCTTCAAATACCACGTCTTTGGATACAAAAACAGTATGTGTTTCAAGGTTATAAAGCCTCCAACCCTTTTTGCCAAAAGGATATCCCAGGAATAGACACCGAGTTGATCGAGCTGCAAACTTGTCCAACGGTTTGGGACGTGGATGAGCATGGCAAAGACATCCGAATATGCGAATATGATCATAGCTGGGTGTGCAGTTGAAAAGACATTCATATGGTGTTTTTCCTTGGAGAAGAGGAGTGGGGGTTCTATTGATTAAATGTACCGCAGTTAGAACACATTCACCCCAAAACTCGATAGGAAGACTAGCTTGAAAGCGTAATGCTCTTGCAACATTCAAAATATGTCTATGTTTCCGTTCAACACGACCATTCTGCTGTGGTGTGTCTACACATGATGTTTGATGTATAATTCCCATATCGGAATAAACATT